TTCTTCTTATTTGGCGTAACAAGTCTGTTGAAAGTGCTTTAGGTGAACTCTACTTAAGGGGTTGTTTGGGATGACCTAAATAAATACACTTTTTATCTTTTTACGAAAAGATGTGCAGAAAAGTTGAGAGGTGATGTGATGGAAAAAGGATAAAAAGATAAAAAGATGGATTATTTATAAGTTGTCAAACTTGGCCTAAATCAATCCATCAATTTTAGGTTTATAAATAAGGGATAAAAAGGTCATTTTACCTAACTTTTGTTGCAGACACCACGTGATTTGAATTTTATAGATAGGTTTATAGGGTAAAATAGTAGACTTTTTAGTTTTTTTAATGATTTTTTAGCTTTTAGGTTAAAAAATTGTGTTGTCAAATGTGACCTTAGGAGTTATTTGGAATAATTTAAATAAGTATACTTTTTAATTTTTTGTAAAAAAAATGTGTAGAAAAGTAGAGAGATGATGTGACCTAAATAAATATTCTTATTTAGTTTATACCAAGCAAATCCTTAAAACACGTTTGGTATGATGGAATAGGCTGCAATAGAATGTCCATTACAACTTTGCATTTCTTTTCCCTTATATTAGTGCGCCTTATCTAAGTAAGAATAGTCATTCCATTGGAATGCCTATTCCAACATAATGTGAGAATGCCTATTCATTCCTCCAACTTAAGGAATAACCATTCTATTCCATCATGGAATTAATAAAAAAAATTATTATTATTATTATTACTATTATTATTATTATTATTGACACTTTATATTATTATTTAGCTACTACCACCATTCTGTTCTCGTACCACTGCCGCCACCACTGCCACTTAGGAGTATAAAAATGGCACAAGCCTAGCCTGAAAAACCTGGGCTTGGGCCTGGGCCATCATTTTGAAGCCCGGCCCGACTCATAGGCCTAGCCCATTGGCCTGCGTAAGGCCCACTCAAGGCTCGACCCAAGACCCAGCCTACCTAAAGCTCAGTGTCTTTTTTAATAAAAAATAATAAAATTTTGACAGAAAAAATAAAAAAAAACAAAAAAATATATATATTTGGGCCTGTCTGAGCCCATGCCTATTGGCCCGTCCAAGGCCCGAATACCTCATGGGCTTGGGCTTAATTTTTTGGCCCGTGGGTTGACTGGCCTGGCCCGAATTTTGGCGGGAGCCTTTACACCCCTACTGCCACTGTCACTTCCACCCTATCGCCACCATAACACCACTACCACCATCCCCATGGTCGCCACCTCAACCACACCACTACACTACCACCGTTCCCCTATTACTACTGCATCTGTCGCTATAATCACTAACTTACCACTGCTACTACTACCCACCTTCATAAACATCACACCACCATCATCACCATCATGAGAACCACCACTCTACTACTGTTGGTTGTCGCCACTGCCACCACCACCACTAAGGCCACAACAACCTACTACCACTATTCTACTATCATTGTTATCACCACCACTGATGTCGCCGTCACTACCACCACCACTACTACGACTCACACCATTACTTCTACAACTATCAACTTTATCATGATCTATACAAAATTTTAATTTATTTGTTACTAGCTTGTTAAAAAAACAAATAAAAAAAAAAAAAACTTATTCCATTCCATAAGATAATATGCATAACCAAACATAAGAATGAGAATTATCATCATATTTTTATATCATTCCATGTTGGCAACCAAACAACGGAATGAGAATGGACATTTCATTCCATTCAACTTTGTATTTCATCTGCACTCTCATTCCATTCCTATTTCATTTCATTCCATCGTATCAAGCATGTTCTTAGTCTTTATGGATGTTTTTGCATGTATTTAATTTGATGGATGTTATAGTTTTTGTGTGGGTGAAAATCTGACCACACTGCCAACTCAGTACTCAGCTGGAAAACACTGGCAGAATAGATAGCACCTGTAAAACCTGCAACAGAAGGAGAAGACTCCGGCGGTGGTTCTTCCACCCAGGGGCGCTCTGACGATCAAGTCAGTATATCTCTCAAAGATAATTCAAGTGCTTAAATCACTGTTCTTAATATAAATTGCGTACCTTAGACCCATGGGGGTGCCTCTCTTTTATAGTTAACTCAATCCTAGTCCCAATAGAAGCCTGACTTCTATGGACTCCCATTCAATGCTTACTTTGGACTCCTCAAGAGATAAGGATGGACTCCCTAAGAATACTATCCTTATCCATCTTGAAGTCTTTCTTCATTCTAGGACTCTTGTCCCTTATCCGCTTATCTCGGATTCCGATATCTTCAGAGACAACCTCGGCCTAGCCGAGATAACCTCGGCATCATGATCTGGAATGTGGCACCTCAGCTGACCCGTCGGCGTCACCTTGCCACGTGTTGATACTCAAAAAATATATCCCCACAACTGCCCCTTAGGTTCTATTACCTTGGTATTCTGAGGTGATGGAACCTATATCTGTGTTTCCTGCCAGTACGTCGGCTTAAAGACTTGTAGCCGAGATCATCATCCAGGCCGACATGCCTCTTTAGAGAACAAGAATTCCAAGAACCTTGTTACGCGTATGAGTTGTCATACGCAAAAACTGAACCGTTTAAGCCACGTGTTTACCTGTAACTAGTTCGTACCGCGCACGCGCCTATGAGCCGTTTCACGCCTATATGCGCCGTCTAACAGACCCGTTGTTCTAGGCGTATTGATTACCCTTTTGCCGCCGTTTCCATTTTTAACAAAACTCTTTTCGTCTTTGCCTTTTCACCTTATTCTCGTTTCTGAAAAATTCTTTCTCTCTTTAGCTTTTCTTATCTCCTCCTTCGTTCAAGTTTTCAGGCTCTGCTACCACCGTTGTTCACGTCCTCCGGCGAAACTTTTACCATTCTTCTCCGCTGCTGCCGTTAGTCTGACTTCGGTGAACTCGACGCCGGCTTCCTTTTTGCTGGTAAGTCACCGTTCCTCCTAGTTTCAATTTTCTTGTTGCTTTTCAAGAAATTTTGCTTCATCATTTAGTCGTCATTGCTGTTTTTGCTCAATTTATGTCTTGAATCACATACTGTTCATACGTTTGTTGATCATTGCCATTGTTCTTGGCTTTTTATACCTATCTTGTGTTTCTTAATGGCCCTTCATTTTTCTTGATTTCTGAATCGCCCTACCTGTTTCTATTTTCTTATGACTTTTCCAGATTTGTGCTTTCAATCTCCATCTCCATAATTTTAGGTTTCGGATTTGTCTTTTGTTGAAGCTTCGATTTTTAGGGAAAACTGGAACAATTCCCCACTGATTCTATACATCTTTAGGGTTTTGCGGAGGTCCAAAAAACCCCTAAGAAACGCACCCTTCTGAAATCCAACCCCTTTAGTTAAGCTGACATCATGGGTATGTGGAAGCATAGGGTAAATACCCCAACCAAGCTTGAATACTTTAGGCAAGAGTTTGAAATTCCAGCCGATGTCCATCTGAGGTTGGCTGGGGATGATGACTCCATCATGCCTACCCCTGACTCTATGCCTTTTCCTGTAGTAGCTTTCATCGAGTGCGGACTTCGGCTCCCACTTGATATTCTTTTCCGTGAAATACTTTACTATTACAAGTTGAACCTGATGCAACTTGCCATCAACTCCTACCGCATCATTAATGGTATCATAGCACTAGCCAAACAAGAAAACACTAGGATCACTCTAGCCGATATCCAATTCTGCTACACTATGTGTGGCCTCAACTTGAAAGAAAAAGGCTACGTTTACTATCTCAAGCTGAGGTCCACCGAATACAAAATCGTCACCGACCTCCCTAACTCTAACAAGGGAGCTGGAGATGATTATTTTATTACTTCGGGGAATTGGGAGTTCGCTCCAGACGATGACCTTCATCTCTACCCCCTTCCTCGATCAGTTTTTGTAGAGGGCAAGGGTAAGAGCCCTGTGTTCACACTAACTTATTTCTTAAGTCTTCAACATTTTATCTGTCTTTCTAATGTCTGCTTTTTCTTGCAGTTCTTCCAAAGCCAGGGAAAGACTTCCGCAAGTCTTTTGTCCCAAGCCCAGGTTTAAAGAAGCTACTGGACCTTCCTGTCCATAAGCGCAAGGCCCCAGTGCTTCTTAATTTCATTCCAACGTATAAGCCGGCTCTTCCCGACGTCCCGAAGAAGAAGAAGAAAAGCCTTTCTCCACCTTCTGCCACAACTCCACAAGGCGCATCCATATCTCAGACAGACCAAGGATCAATCTGATCCTGCTGAGCAGCCGTCAACCTCGGCTCCATACCTGATCCCGATATCCCAACGCCGTAGTCAACGCCGTAGTCGACGCCGAACAGTTTCTTCTACTGAGATGGGCCGCCCAAAACCAGTTGCAAAAGATCTCCTGGCCAACATTCCAACTGATGTTGATGTTCAACCAACTCCAACCCAGCCTCCACAGAAGCTGAAAAGAGTAAAAAAGTCTCAGCCAAAGGCTAAGGTAACTCAGATCGATTTTGAGGATACCCTGCCAATTTCCAAACCGGCTCCGAGTGAGAAGACTGCCTTTGCCCCTGTGAAGAGGTCCACTGAAACACTTCCATCCGAATCCACCAAATCCAAAAGGCCGAGGTCATCTTCTGCAACAACCTCGGGGTCCAAAAAGCCTAATGCCCCATGGACCCCCGAAATTATTTTGGAAGATAAGCCTGTTATGGCTAGTGATAGCGCCGACGACATCAATGTCGACGTAGCCCTCAGCACAGCTCTGCTTCTCCCCGGCGATCTTGACCGAAATGCCGAGTTGAGCGAGTACGAAATCTATGCTCTGATGCTTCAACGCTCCGTCCAAGTAAGTGTCTTCTACTTGGTAATTTTCTTCTTTCTCTTTTGTACTTAGAAAATTTTGCAATAACTTTTACCTTGTGTTCTTTCAGGCCATCCAGCATGTCCACTCTTTTTCTATTCAATCTTTCGAAAATCGGCAGAAGCTGGCCGACATGAAGAGGGAGTTCTCTTCTCTTCAAAAAGCCAACAAAAGTCTTCAATCAAAGATGAAAAAGTTGGAAGATCAGGCTGAGGCTGCTATCAAGGCTCAAAATGACGCCGAAGAAAAGGCGGAATCTACTGAGGCCCTTCGGAAGGTTCTTGAGGCCGAAAAAATAAAAGTCGAGGAAAAGGCGTCCCAGGCCCAGAAGGAACTTCAGAATGCTCTTGCAACCAAAGACGCCGAAATAAGAGATACCGATGAGAAGGCATATGCCCAGGGTATGGCCGATGTCACCGAAGCCTACGAAAAGCAAGTAAACACAGGCATGCAACAAGGGTTTCACCCTTGGCTGGATGACCTTGCTGAAAAAGCTTGATGTTCCTGAGGACTCGCCTCTTCGGAATGCTGACGCCATTCCTCTTCCATTCCCTCCATCTCCACCTCCAAGTCAACACGTCGGCAAATCTGAGTCTGAGGATGATGATGAAGATGAAGATGAGGATGAGGCCTTGATGAGAAAATCCAAGGAGGCTGCTGGGAACAAATCCCCTTCTCTGAACGAGCAAGTCCTAGACTTGACTCAAGATGATGAGGGTGAGAAGGTTCCTAAAGATGCTGCAGCTGAGAACGCATCGGCCGACGTTCCCCTTGCTGTCAAGAGCTTCGATGAGACCCTTGCGAAAATTGACGCCGAGCTTATGGCGGATAAGGCTGCTGAGATGTCTTCTCAACAATCGTCTGAACTTCAAACTCAACCAACTGCTACTGCAGAGGAGTCTTAGCCTCATGTTTTTCTTTTCCTTTTTTGTACTTTGTTTTTTGAAACAATGTATGCTTTCCTTATGGCCGATGTGCCTTCTCTGTAATTCCCAAACAATTATTTTTTGGTAGGCCATAGTGCCCTCTTTTGTGTACAAATGCAACTGCTTTCCATGAATGCTTGAATCTTTATCTTCCTTGTACTGCTCTTGTATGTCCTCCATACTTAGAATATTTTGCATGCCTTTGATGTACTCTTCCTTATTTGTGCAACCTTCTCGGGGTGACATACCTCGGTTATACATACCGATGGATTTACCTCGGCTAGTACTTGTCATGTAAATTGCTCATAAACTTTCAACAAGGGTAAAACATATACGGTTTAATTTCAACTTTGTAAACTTTTCTCAAGTTTCAACGAGTGTTAAACAATGATCTCGGTTTAACTTCAGCTTGTAAATTGCTACAAATTTCAACAAGTGTTAAACAATGATCTCGATTTAACTTCAACTTGTAAATTGCTACAAATTTCAACAAGTGTTAAACAATGATCTCGGTTTAACTTCAACTTGTAAATTGCTACAAATTTCCACAAGTACTAAACATCTTTGTCTTCTCTCTGCCCTCTAATGTGAACTTGAATTCTACTTGGGTTCTCATTATTTATACATTCCAGAAACAACATTATGTATCTTTATCAGTCACAAGTGTTGAAGAATCTTGCTAAAATTTTATTCATGACATCGGCAAAAAACATGTCAAATCTCAATGATAGAAAAATTTCAGGTTACAAGTGTTCCAGGGTCTTGGCAATGCTTTGCCCTCGTTATCTTCAAGCCGATATGCCCCATTACCCAATACCGAGGTGATTCGGTAGGGTCCTTCCCAGTTTGGGCCAAGTTTGCCCCCTCTAGGATCCTTCTTGTTGCCGACCACTTTCCTCAGGACTAGGTTGCCGACTTGAAATTCTCTTGGATTGACCTTCTTGTTATAAGCTTTTGCAAGTTGTTGCTGGTATGTTGCGAGCTGGATTGCAGCTTTCTCTCTTCTTTCTTCTAAAAGATCCAGATCTCAGGCTAAGAGTACATCATTAGTCCCGTTCTCTATTCCCTGGGTTCTAATCCCAGGGATGCCGACTTCCAGCGAAATGACAGCTTCCGTGCCATAAGCCATGGCAAAGGGGGATTCCCCCGTTGATCTTCTCGGCGTAGTTTGATATGCCCAGAGTACATTGGGCAATTCGTCTACCCACTTGCCTTTTGCTGCCTACAGCCTCTTTTTTATCCCATCCAAAATTAATTTGTTGGATGCTTCTGTTTGCCCATTGCTTTGGGGAAAACTTGGTGTTGAAAAGTAGTTCTTGATTTTGAACTTTGCATAGAAGCTCTTAGTTAGCTTACTGTCAAACTGTGTTCCATTGTCAGCAACTATTGCTCTCGAAATCCCAAATCTGGTGATGATGTTTCTCCATATGAAGTTCTTAACATCCACATCTCGGATCTTGGCAAGAGGTTCTGGTTCTATCCACTTTGTGAAGTAATCTGTTACTACCAGCAAGTACTTCCTTTGCCCAGTAGCTTGGGACAATTTCCCAACAAGATCCATGCCCTATTGGGCAAACGGCCAAGGACTGGATACAGGGTTCAGGTCAGCAGGTGGCTGGTGTATCAAAGGTGCAAACTTTTGGCATTGTTCACACTTCTTCACGTAGGCCTCTGCATCTTTTTGCATGTAGGGCCACCAATACCCCTGGGTAATGGCCCTATGAGCTAGTGATCTGCCCCCAACGTGGCTTCCATAAATTCCTTCATGAATTTCATATAAAAAATCTTCAACCTGCAAAGGATGTACGCATCTTAAAAGGGGTCCAGTGAAGGACTTTCTCTAGAGATGTCCTTCTGCTGTCAGATTGAATCTTGCCGACTTTAATCTGACTTTGTGTGCCTCCTTATGGTCTTCTGGCAGCTTTCCTTCTTTCAAGAATGCAACAATTACATCCATCCAGCTTGGTTCCATGTCCACACACATTGCTTCATGCTCTGTGGTTCATGGTTCGATGCTCGGGCCCGACAAGCAGTCGACCATTATTGTCCTTGCTTTTTCACGTTGTATGGCACTGGCTAGGTTGGCCAATGCATCGACGTGACAATTATCATCTCAGCTGACTTGAAGTAGTCGGCAGTTATGAAACAAGGCTGCCAGCCTGATGACCTCATTTGCGTATGCCGACATTCTTTCATCTCGGGCTGCAAACTCTCCTGTTGTCTGATTCACTATAAGTTGTGAGTCACAAAAAACTATTACCTCATTTGCTTCTGCTACTATTGCCAGCTTCAGTCTTGCAATCAATGCTTCATATTCTGCCTCATTGTTTGAGGCCTTGAACCCCAATCGAATGGACTGTTCCAATATCTCTCCATCTGGAGATATCAATACTACTCCTACCCCCGCTTCCTGCCGGTTTGAGCTCCCATCAACGAACAGTCGAAAGGAGTCGCCGATGTAAATGCTGCAGGGTCTGAGTTTTTCCTCTTTCCTTCGCTCTTTTGCCTTCGACTGTGCTTCTTTTTCCTTGCTTGGGCATTGCTCATCTCGACTCAATAGAGCCCGATATACGATGGATTCTGGTGTGAATTCAGCCACGAAGTCAGCCAAAACATGGCCTTTGATTGCTGTTCTCGACCTGAACTCCAGGTCATACTGGCCCAAGGCCACTGCCCATCTGGCAATTCTTCCTGTTAAGTCTCCTTGTTGCAACAAGGACTTTAGTGGGTGTTCTGTGAGTACCACAATCTTGTGGGCCTGAAAGTAATGGTTCAACTTTTTTGAAGCCATTACCAAGGCCATCATCAATTTTTCTAATGGTAAATATCTTGTTTCTGCATCGGCCAGGGTTTTGCTTACATAGTAAACAGCCTTTTGTTCCCCTTTTTCTTCTCGCACTACCACTGCGCTTACCGCATGTTCTGAAACTGCTAAGTATAAAAACGGCTCTTCTCCTGGTTCTGGATTTGAAAGAACTGGAGCCGTGGTTAGATACTTCTTTAGGTCGGCCAAGGCGGCCTCGCATTCTCCGGTCCACAGGAAGTCTGTGGCTTTCTTCACCAAGTTGAAGAAAGGCCTGCACTTGTCTGAGCTTCTACTGATGAATCTATTCAGGGCTGCGGCCCTTCCAGTTAGCATCTGCACATGTTTTGCCGATGTCGGGCTCTTCAGTTGTAGGATGGCCTTGATCTGATCTGGGTTGGCCTCAATGCCCCTTCTGGTCACCAGGTATCCCAAAAACTTACCAGATCCAACTCCAAATACACACTTCGATGCATTGAGTCGGAGCCGATATGTTTTAAGGATTTAAAAGAGTGCTTTTAGATCGGCGAGATGACCCTCAGGCTCCTTGGTCTTAACGACCATGTCGTCGATGTAGACTTCCACTGTTCAGCCAATCTGGTGTTTGAACATTTTGGTTACCAACCTTTGGTAAGTTGCTCCTGCGTTTTTCAGCCCGAAAGGCATTACTCTGTAACAGCACAGGCCTTTTGGGGTGATGAACGCGGTCTTCTCTTCGTTTGGGGGTTACATGGCAATCTGGTGTTACCCCCTGTAGGCATCTAAGAAGCTCGTTCTTCCATGCCCTGAAGTGGCATCTACTAGCTGGTCAATCTTGGGTAGAGGAAAGCTGTCTTTCGGACAGGCTTTGTTGAGGCTGATAAAGTCTACGCAGACCCTCCATTTGCCGTTCTTCTTTTTTACTACCACTATATTGGATAGCCATGTCAGGTAGTGAACTTCTCTAATGGCCCTAGACTCCAAAAGTCTGTCTACTTCTTCCTTTACTACTTCGACGTGCATCAACGTCGGTCTTCTGGCTCGTTGAATTACAGGTTTGGCTGACCTGTCAACATTCAGTTTGTGGCAAGTGACCTCGGGGTCAATGCCAGGCATTTCGTAAGGTGTCCAAGCAAACACCTCAATGTTTGCTCTAAAAAAAGCTTCCAACTCTTTTTCCTCTTCTTCGGCTAAGCCCGAGCCGAGAAGAAAAAAGCATTCTTCATCCCCATCCTAGACGAGGATTTTCTTCAGTGCCTTTTCGCTCTTCTCGGCTGGCTCCTTGCCGACGTCTTCTAGGACTTCCACGTCCTCATCTTCAATTTCTGTCTTTTCTGGCTCTCGTATGCCGCAGGTAGATTTCATTGCTGCCATGGAGGAATTCTTCGCCTGCAACTGATCGCCTCTGACTTCCTCTATCCCATGCTCTATTGGGAATCGTAATAGTTGATGTAATGTTGAGGGAACTGCTCCCATCACATGCAGCCATGGCCTTCCCAAGATGATGTTGTAAGGGGAGGGTGTGTTGATGATGGTGAATTCTGTCTTGATCTTCCTAGTGCCAGCTTGCACCTCTAAGCTTACTGCTCCCAGTGGCCATGTCGGCGTTCCATTGAACCCAACCATTGGGCCATTGGATTGTTCCATATCATCTGGGTGAAGGCCGAGCTCCTTGTAGCATCGGACGTACATGATGTCACAAGAGCTGCCTTGGTCAATCATGATGCGTTTTACTTGGCACTCCCCAATCTTGGAGGGATACTACCAAGGCATCATTATGCGGATGCTGGACCATCTCTAGGTCGGCTTAAGTAAAGGTTATCAATGGTCCCTGGCACTCTTCTGCCCGATGTCTTTTCTCCCTGACTTGGTAGATATGTTGTAGGTGTTTTACCTTCTGGGTCTCTCCTCAGATTTCGTTTTTGTTGACCTTTGAGTGAATTACGTTAATTACCCGAGGTCCTCCTACCTGAGGTTGCTGTACTGGGGGAGGCGGTGCTGCGGGCACTTGAGGCAGTCTTGCATGTTCCTCCCTTGTTCTGGCCTCATCGGCAAGCCCTCAAGTGGCCTTGCCTCACCAGATCTTCTAAGTATGCTTTTAGGGCTCTACAACCCTGAGTTGTATGCCCATCTTCATTGTGGTAGGCACAATGCCTACCAATGTTTCTTCCCATGAATTCTCCTGGAGTCCTCTTTG